GTAGAGAAAAAAAACTTCTTTTTATTAGTTTTAAAATTTACTTCTATCTGAGCTGAAACTAATTTAGCTTGAAGAACACCTTAAGCATTAATATTTTTTCCAGCAACACAAAAAAAAAAAATTAAAATTTGAACACAGTAAGAACATTAATTAGAAATTTCAGTTCAAATCTTCTAGTTTATAAATTAAACCTAATACAGACCTGTAAAATAGGTAAAAAAATGTTTGTTTAATTAAACAAAATATAGTGTTACTGGAAAAAGTATTAAGGTGTTCAAACTGTTTGTAATTTTTTGCTATATTGTTGGAAGTACTAATGTAAAATTACTTTATTATTATATAATGTACATTCAATAACGTCGTTATCCTTTCCCCAATTCCCTAATTTTTGAAACTGGTTTCACCAACCACACCATTTTTTAAAACACAACCCTCTCCATGGTTGGCAAGGGATGCTCTATTTTAATGTTAAAAAATTTTATCATTCCATCAAATTTTAAATATAAATAAAATTGCATTTAACTCACCGTCTCTCTGTCTACCAGTTCTTTCTTCAAAACCCAGGTTTCTGCCGCCCACTGTTCCGACACAAACATATCATCTGTGATTATGATGTTATCAAATAGAATGTTGTCTGTCATTGACCACAATTCAAAACCGACTGCTCCCTGTAAATTAAGCAATTTTTAAAATTTTTATTAAATCATAATTTCCTTTTGAAACAACAACATAGAATAATTTTGCAAATTGGAAATAGTTTTAAATACATTCAATTATAAAATGAATAAGTTGGACAGGACCAATATTTCTAAAACACAATGAGCTTAATTGGATTCTGACAGAAATCTGAAACATATTCCTATTACTGTAAACACACACACAGTGAAGCCAACTGAGATAACTCAAATTAATATTTCCAATATATTATCATTAAGTTTTATATTACAACATATTATTATATAAGAAATATTAATAGCATCAGTAGAATTTGATAAGATTTACTATAATGAAGACATTTAACAGTGGTATTTCAAACACAATTCAAAATTTATTTGATTTCATTCTTGTAACAATTTATTCAATGTTTCAGTAAACTATTCATTATATATTTCATTTGTTTTGAAAATGATTTAAATATTCTTCCTTAAAATTAGTTATAACTTAACATTTATATATTTTTTTATCTTTCAGATTTGATCAAGTATTTTCAAATGATGAAAATTTTGATAGTTTTTATTTCATTTCAAGATATTTTTTTTGACAGTTGCCGAAATCAAAACCAGGATCAGGTGTTTTGAAAGGTATTTAGCTGACTAAATGCAATTAAATTTCATATGGTGACATTTCAGAACATGCAGAATATATTTCCATAAAAAGAAATTAGTATACCAAAACTCACCACCAGGGTACTTTTGGCACTGCAAGCAACAAACATTAATGCAAAATACTCATGCTATACAAAGACCTTAGTGATGTATGGGATACTACTCAGTGGTCTCCCTCTTATAGGTGTAAAACTTGATGGTGGTGAGCTGTGTTCTGTGGCCAACTGCAACTAATCCTCTGTAATGCTTCTCATGTAATGTGAGACTCTTTCAAGGGTATCAAATTTATGATAAGTCCTCAATAAACCACACTTTTTAAGTGACCCTACAACCATAAAATTACAAAATTACAATCAGTATAAAAGTACCATAGTGATGAGTTTGATATACTCATTTTTTTTAATGAAACGTCTGTTGCCCTGAAATGTCACTGTAACAAATTTGGTTGTCTCTTTTCAACTTTCTTAAATCTCTATACAACATTGAATAGAGGTACTTTAATTATAATCATCCTATATTTTATTTGGGCAAGAAAACATTTCTGTAAAATATGAATTAATTAGGAAAGAGGTCTGAGCTTCATTCGTTAGTAAAGATGATTCATAATACCAATTACTTGTTACTTTGGTATTCATTATACAGCATTGCAACGAGTCAGCAAGACACTGCTGCATTAAACAAAACCTGATGAATGCTCTTCCTCATCCTAATGATGTTTTAAGTTCAGAAATTGATTTAACAAATTTTAATCCATCATGAATGTCTGTTCGTTTCGTCGTAAGACAACGGCAGATGTAATCCCAATAATTTTTTTTTTCCGCGTACCAAGTAAACTGGTGTGCTTTCTATTAATTCTTTCTCTTTTTTTACTTGCAAGTAACCTTGATTCTTCTTCTCTTTTTTCTGCACATTTTAACTGTTGCCGTAATTCTTCCATATTTTTCTCTAAATGGGCGAGTTCAGCTTTCAAATCTTTCACTTCATTAATATTTTGAATCTCATTTGTAAATTGCTGTGTTAAAGTGGGTTCATTTTGTGACGTACAGCTGACCAAACTAGAGACGCTCATGCTTCTGCTAGGTGGTTGCCAAGAATAAGTTGTACTAAATAGCTTTCTAGCAAACGTCGGCCAAGACACGTCGAGATCGTGTCCTCTTGGCGAAAGATCAAACTGTATGTCATTTAATTCATATAATGTGGAAATGAGGAAAGAGGTCTGAGCTTCATTCATTAGTAAAGATGATTCATGATACCAATTACTTGTTACTTTGGTATTCATTATACAGCATTGCAACGAGTCAGCAAGACACTGCTGCATTAAACAAAACCTGATGAATGCTCTTCCTCGTCCTAATGATGTTTTAAGTTCAGAAATTGATTTAACAAATTTTAATCCATCATGAATCCATCAGGTTTTGTTTAATGCAGCAGTGTCTTGCTGACTCGTTGCAATGCTGTATAATGAATACCAAAGTAACAAGTAATTGGTATCATGAATCATCTTTACTAATGAATCTTTACTTATTTTGAATAAATACAAAAGTAATACTTAAAAGTAATAAAGATAATATACATTGGTACATTATCTCATTTTATGTATATCGTATGCATATAAAAAGAAATACTCACCACAGGTGTCATTCTATAAGGATGTTTATCTTCAAAGAATTCTGGATTTTCAATCCTCCTTGGTTTCCATTTACCCTAAAATTAAATGGTCATGTCAACTGACAATAATCAAAATCAAATATTTTCTTTAAAAATGTAACATACCTTGTAATTTGGATTATCAATAAGGGGTGCTCTCCATTTTCCCTTGTAATTTGGATTATCTATCATGGGTGGTTTCCACTCTCCACATCCAGCCTGCTCACAGTTTGGATTACCTATTAATATTGATATTAACATTAGCCATATAGTAGAAAATGAAGGAATAATTCCACTTCAACTTGTTTCATTTAATTGAAACACCAAAATATACTTTAAGTAAAAGCAACGAGAATAATATTTAAGTGAATGGCTTTTTAAAACAATCATTACAATTTGTCATTAATTAATACAGCAAACTGTAATGATCTTAAATACTTATGCTGTTCTTGTGTTAATATTTAACATACTATAAAAATATTTTATTGTGTGCAAATTATTTGCTAGTAGTCATATAGTGAGCAATTAGAAAAAAATTAATCTAAAATATTTTCCATTAAATTTAATCAAATTTTAAAGATATAATGACTACATTAGAGTCACGGCCACAATTATAACTTACAATATAATAAAGTTTGTGAAATAAACACTGAAATTACCAGTATTTTTAATACTATATTGTAATAAAACTAGACTAGAGTACATGTAGGGTTGTATTTGAAAATAAATGATAATACTGATCATTTCTTTGTCTCTAGAAATGACCTTGTACTCCATAGTTTGAGAATTGGCTTAAGTTATCATAATTACAGGATGTCTCACATAAAATCAGTCCCAAATCACTTGAGTATATTATTGTAATCTTCATATTGAAAAAAACAGGACAAATGAGACCAAAGATTTTTACTTAATTTTATTTTAAAGTTTATTTATAGTTTTATTAACAAAAATTATGGAAATTTGCATGCCCAATACTTCATCATTTAACATCGGAAGTTCTGTAAAGGTTAAGCCTGTAAAATTTCAGTTATTGTTATCATCTTCAAGTACATAGACATTTTTAATTCATCTTTTAGTAATATCAGCATCAACATAAGGCTTATAATATACAATCATATTATCAGTCGTAACTAGTGCTTTAATCAAATATTTATCATTTTAATTGTTATTGATTAGCAGTATATCAGTTTAAATTGCTAGCATTTCTTACTTCAATTATACTCCAGATAAATTATTAATTAATAGTAAACTGTTCTGGTTTCTTTATGTTCTAAATAGTTATAATCATCTAAAAAACTAAACTAGATAAAATAAAATTAGCTCTGAATATTGTTATCTGTATAATACAGTGAATGATCAGTTCAGACTGAACAAAACAGATAACGAACACTTTTGCGAAAGATTTTTATGTTCAGACAACAAACACATTTGGAAAACAAACAGCTCACAGAACAAACACAACAAGAAGCAACGTAAAATAATGAATACTAATTGGTCTTCCCTTGCCTCCAGGTGACAATTCAAAACCTTTTGGAGTGCAGGAGACGTTGACATTGATGCTCAATCTGATACCGATCAGATAGTATTCCCCTGAACTTTGAAAATCTCCACTGTAATTCCAGACTTTTGTTTACCTTTCTGACAAAGAATTTTTAGTCTTTGCAGGACTGTCGGGCACTTGTTCAGTTTTGCATCAATTTTTATTTTTGAAAGGTGAGAGTATAATAGCCAAGCAGAGAATGGGCAGAAGATGTCTGATGATGTTAGGCAGTATGGCTTGAACAAGTCTACAGTAGGCACAATCTTAGCTAAGAAAGATATCATCAAGAAGCTCAAGTATCTAAAGGAATAACAAAAATCATATGAGAAACAAAGATGTGCCATCCATAAAAAAATGGATAGATTGCTTTTAATTTAGATAATAGAAAAGGAAATGAAAAGAGATGTAACTAGTATGACTATCATTCAAGAGAAAGGTAGAGAAATTTTTGGATAATTGAAGAAACAAACTCCAAACTCCACATTCGTCACATGAGTTCAAGGTGTTCTGAAGCATGCCAGTTGTCCTCAATGATGACATTAAAAATGTTTTGGAAACAAAAATTTGATATTCTTGATGCTATCCAGCTCATTCAAAAGGCAAGGTAAGAAGTCATTCAATGACAGTTGAATTCTGATTGGCAAAAGCTGTGTCCCTCCTGCATTCAGGGAGATAGAAATGATGTACCTGAAAATATGGATAAAATTGTGACAACTGTTACAGATCTCGAATTGGAAGTGAATGAAGATGACATCGAAGAGCTCATCATGAAACTTGAAACTGATCTGATGACAAAAGAACTCTTGAATGAAGAACCAAGAATCTCAGCAAGTTATGTTTTCTTATGAAAAAGAGGAAGACAAGAGGACCAATGCCAACATCTGCTATTAAAGGTCTTTTGAAGAAGTGGGAAAATGTCAGAATACTGGTCTTAGAATGGCATTCAAACCAGGTTCAGGATAATAGGCTTGAGGATCTCTACAACAACAATGCTATTAATTACTTCCGAAAAATCCTGAAGAAAAGCAACCGATGTTGGACAGAACCGATTCTTTAACTCTCCACAAATGGGGAAAAATCATGACCAACAAAAATGCAAGACTGCATATGTATATGTGACACATACATACACAGTAATAATAATTATTACTACAAATAAATAAACATAGTAAGAAAGTATATAATTTTTTATTTATTTTTTGGGGTCTCCAGAATGAATTAATCAAATTCTCATAAAAATTTATGTTAAATCAATAATCAGATAACAAACAATTCGGGTAGCAAACATGGTCTTGGAACGGATTATGTTTGTTAACTGATCACCCACTGTATTTAAAATACATATCATTTAACCAACATGTTATGAAGCAACGTTGGATTGCAAGAAACTTTGTTTGCATAAGATTCTGGATTTTAAATATATGCAATTAATTCTACTTTTGTGATACAGTAAGCATCAATAACAATTTTGAAACAAATGAAAATTATAAAAGGCAATGCAATTTTTATATTTCCTTCCTTTTGGAAATCATACCAGTATTTGATTAAAAATAGATTTCTCTTAATGTTTATGGTTATCAAAATATCACAGAATTATCAATGGAAAGTTTATTAAATATAACAATGACAATAATGTATTTAATCATCAAGTAAAAAACAAAAAATTACGATACTTATTGTATTGTCTAATATTTCAATATATTTATATTTTGAAAAATTAAAGAATTAGAAAATTAAAACTCATTAAGAGAGTTCAAAAACAAAAAATATTTACTTATCAATGGTGGTTCCCATTCACCATCCATTTCATCATCCCTAGATTCAAAATAATAATAAAATATATATAAATTTATTTTTTCATATTATTAATTACTATAATATTAGTACAGACCAGTCTTTTGGCTTCTCAGCATTTGGATCAGGAATAAGCTCCACTTCGTCATCCAACCAACCTTCTGGTTTACGAGCATTTGGATCAGGGATTTGTCTTGGAGCATCTTCATCCCTAAAATATTAATTTCAGAAAGTTTACAAGTTTTGATTTTATATGATATAAATGCAACATATACAATTAGTAATAACTATTATTTAATGTATAATTTTGAAACAATCTGAATGTTTGTATTATCACCATCATATTATATAAACTGACTAAGTTTGCAATCAGATATTTTCCATTACAAAATGTTCAGTATAACTTTATGATATCACAATTAACTATAATGTCTCATGTTACAATTTTAATTGGTAAAACAAGTTTAATCAATCATCTTTAAAAAAAATTCATTATATATAATTGCTACCAAAATGTTCTATTATTTCATTAACAATAACAAAAATAAAATATGTTTACATTCAACTAGGGGGTGCTTCACTCACTTGTTTAGTTCATACGTTTATTAGTTGTGACTGTTTCTTTTTGAATATTCTATCTATTAAATGTTTATAATGTTTTTAAACAAAAAATTTAAAATTTATTATTGGCAAATTGGCAGATTTATGAACAATAATAGAATTTATAGATAAGTGGAGCCAATACCCCGATTTGCACAATTCAGTTCCAAGTGCCCAATGGGCTTTGTCCCCTTATTTCAAATATTCATGAAAATTTTCTCATTCCTGGTGCTGCCATTTTTTTGTGACAGAAAAAAGTGTCATGACAATTATTTTTATATATGTATAATAGATTTCCCTAGTACTACTCTCTGGTATTCCTGACATATCTTGGGTCGCAACCTAACGACCTTGACCTGTGGATCCAAGATATCTCATTTCAGCATTAGAATGTTTTTGAAACTAGTTGTTGTTAGTTGTTACAATTTTTATATTGAAACTAACTTCCGAAATATATATATATTTTTGTTTTTACATTTATTAATATATCTATTTTGTTTGTGTAAAATAAAAAAATAATTTCAATAGCCAAGATACAATAGTCAAGATTATTTTTTTCAAAAATGTGTAATTTTCGTTAGGCAACATTGACAAAAATTCAACACGGCACAACAAGCAATGGAGAAAAATTCCAACACAGGATAGGTTAAGACTTTAGGGCCTTTTGCAAAAGTTTCTCTTTAAACTACAGAATAACTATTCGTAAAAACTAGTCATTTTCACAAGTTTCTTTGACATTGCAGAAAGCTATCAGCCAGTTAGCTGAAAAATTATCCATGCAGCAATAATGTTATCAAAAACAATATGGGATAAACAAGTGAACAAAAATATAAAATGAACTGGAATGTAGACAAAATATATATTGGTAGATTTAATAGATAATAGATATGATCACAATATTTTAATATATGTATTCTATTAGAAATGATTAATTAGTTTATAAAGATTCATTTAACTAAAAATTAACATAAAACTGTAGCTTTTTAAACTAAAACTGATTCTCAAAACATACAATCACTCTATAACATTATAAGATTTGATCTTTTTTAAAAACATTCTGTCAATATTAGGACAAACTTGATTTTATTAGTCTATATAAAAACCACTTCTTGCCCAACTATAGCTATTATATATATGTTATACTATTATATCATATTTAAAATAACAGGTTTATCATACATATGAGACTATATTATACTATTTAGACCATTTTATTTTTATTTACATATTGTGATATGTAAATAAAATGGTTTAAATAGTGTAATATATATATAATTAATTAGTCTAAATAAAAGTCATGCACATCAGAATCAGAGCTATCAGTCATCTTGTTTCTCTGTTAATCTATAAAATAACTTTTAATCATCCAAAATTGAGTAGTTAAAGTTATTCAGCAATTTATCCCAGACTTACACTCATGCAATGTGCTGAAAGTAATTCTAAAGATATTAAAGTTCATTTAATCTCAAGATTAAATAAAACTCATGCAACTGACCCCTAGAATTATACAGCTAATCAATAAATTTTGAAATGTAATTCTCTGAAAGAATTTATGTATTTTAGATACCTACCTACATACAAATATAATAAAGCAATTTTCTAGTTATTTAAAAATATATATATTTTTTATTGTTCATATATCTAATGTTAGTTCTACAGTGAGCTATGTGAAAATTCAATCTATGAAACAATAAATAAAAAATATTATTTTTCCATAAAAAATATTACAACAAAAGAAAAACTCTTCTCTCTTTTGCTTTTACTGTATTATTTAATAAAATAAGCTATAATCAATTAGGCAATAATAAGTGATTTAAAATCTTAATTTTTGAGTGAGTGTAAATTTAGTATTATTTATAATTTAATTTCAGCTTACCAATTGTCTGGCTTTTTGGCATTGGGATCTGGAATCCTAAAAGAAATTCATTATAAATGATGTTTCCTAATTACAGATGAATAGGATTATATATATATATATTAAAAATATGTATAAAAAACCCACTTTTCTCTTTCATCCCAATCTTCAGGTTTTGAATCATTTGGATCATCAATTTCAGCAGGTGGATTAACTGAAGGACTAAAAACAACTTTTTTTTTAGTTTTTTGTATAAAAGTTTTATTTTTATATAAATCAGAAACAATGACATTTGTTATTTGCATATATACCTAACATCTTCTAGTAAACTTCCCTTGTGTATACTTTTTTGATCAATCTGAATTTCAAAACGATTGTCAGGTGTAATAACTGAAATACACAGAGAAAATATATTTGAAATTATCATAAGAAACTTATTCAACTAAATTAAAAGTTGTTGTTATAATATGAATTTATATGATAATGCAATATCTAACAAAAACTGAATTAAAACTGGTTTAGTATACATTTAAATATTATATTACTTATTACACAGTTATGGGTTTTGAAAATTAGTTATTATTACACAGTTATTTTTACACATTAGTTATTATTACACAGTTATTATGGGTTTTGAAAATTCAGATGTGAATCATACATTAAAATCAGCTTATTGTAATCACAGATATTGTTATCAGTCATTTAATATAATCAAAGTTAACAGGTCCTAAAACAATGAGTTTAAGCACATTAAATAAAACTTTAGTTTCTGTAATTAGAGAATTGGTTATAGTTATCATCATATATGTGTAAATAGGCATTTTTAAGCTTGTTTTTGCACTATCAGCCTCAACATTTCAATCATTATCACTGATTAAGAAGAGTGATAATCATTAAGATCTATTATTACTTGCCTGTAATGCAATTTGTTTAAATTGCTAGCATTTCTTAACTGTAAATGAACTATTCTTTAAGAACTTAACAAGCAAAGTATAGTGGATGAATTATATATTAATAAATAAATAATAATAATAATAATAATTATTAAAACAATTAAACATTGTTAACTTTGAAAATTTATTAATGTGTGTTTTTATTGTTAAGCTGTATATATCAATACAAATAAGTGATTTCACCACTCTATTTAAATGCTTTCAGCACTGTGCATATGCAGCCTAAATAAACTAGCATCTAAATCACACAGTTATGCATGACGTAAACACTTCAGCTGGATGTATTTTTAATTATGGAAATCAGATACTGCTAATCAGCAATGAATAATCTTCATAAGATGGTTTGTTATCATTTTCTACAAAATGGCTCATTGGATAAACATAGTAACTGAGAAATTAATAGTAGTAATTTATAATTTTCTTGAAATTTTTGAGTAAAAGAATAGAACAAAAATAAAAACAAAAATAATTATAAATCAATTTTTGTTTTTATTTTTTTGCACAAACAACAGGTATGTTGATTGTGAGAAAAAATTGTGGCTGAGTGCAGTATCATCAACCATCTTCCACCAAATAGCATGCAAATGTAGTAGTGAATATCAGTAGTACAATCTGTGCATGTCATGTGATTCTTGGTTTAGTGAAATGAAATTATTCACGTGGGTATCCAGCTGAAGAGTCAATAAGATCACAAACTTTCACTATTTCCTTATTTATTTACCCCATTTAATGTTATCAGTGTATAGGTGATCTCAAACTGATTAATATGTAGTAAAATCTCTTTATTTTACTTAAATTATTTATTTTATTTAAATTAGTTAAATAGTTTGGACACACACCGAAATGATTTTTAGCATAATCTCTCACTGAATTCTGACTTATTAAATATTTGTAAAATCTCTTTCCTTGTTCTTTATAACCTTATAAATAAAATGATATTTTTGTAATTTTTGTAAATTTGTTTGTTTGTGGGCAGCATCACATCTGTTTGAGACTTTTGCAGACATCTTTGTGTTTGGATTTGTAGTGTCAAATTTCATTTTCTTTTGGAAAATTTATCTTTCTTTTTATTTATATACTTTCCTGCAAACCTGATCCATTGTATTTTATTAAAAAAAAATTTGTAAAAACCTACAAATTTGTTTCAAATTACCATAAAAGTTCATTTTAGCAAACAAATCTGTGTTATCACTGTTTGCAGATCAATCCACCACCAAAAGCACCATATAACACATCTAACTTCACATTCAGTTACTTCCATTTTAGAAATAGTAAATTAATAAATCAATTTAATTATTAAGAACACATGATCTAAATAATGATTTGCAACTGGCTAAAAATCAGCTGTGATATCATTACCATGTAATCAACCTCATTTTGCCTGAATACTGGTAATTTAGTTTCTCTTATCTGACAAAACCTAATGATGAGTGAATATCTGGAAAGTATTTAAAACATATTATTTCTCATCTACTTTCAATATTTCTTTGAAATGTAATTATTTTCTCTTGAAATATATCACTTTAAATTGTTCACTACAAATTGCTCTAAGGATTACCTTACTCATTGTTTGAGAGAAATTTTTTAATCTTTATGAATATTTCTGTAAATATGATGGAGCAATTCTATGCAAAGATATCAAAAGAAAACAGGTGAAATTCATTGACACTGCAACAAAAACAAATATTCAATTTATATAGTCATCAGCCAACAAAAGCATGTATAGTTTTGATACCGATATTTTCATAAAAGCATTGTTGGATACATCTGCTAGCAATCAATAAACTGAATGCAATAGCTTAACACTCCATATTTAAAATGTAAAAATTTCATATAAAGAATTATTGTATTCGGATGAATCTATTAGATTCAACAGAATATAATAATTAAATTTTAAAATAAATATTTCATTTAAAATATAAAATAAAAGCACTTACTCAAAGTAAATAAATGAGGTTTTTTGTCTTTAAATAAATCTTCCAACTTTGGTATAGAAGAAGCTCTTTTCCAATGTTTTTCTTGATATGTGCCATTCTTTGGATTTCTATGTCTAAAAATGAAATGTAACTGAAAAAAATAAAATATGTAAATTTGACTGTAAAGAACTTGAGTTTTCTTTCATTAAAATGAATAAAATGTAAAAACATAAAATAAAGTTTTCAAATGTATTTGTTCTTTTATTGATGGAAATTGAACATTTTTAAATAATTCTGAATTAAGGAAAGAAGAATCCTTCATTTTAAAAGACCTTATAATATAATTAAGATGAGTTAATAATAATAATAATAAGTGCAGAGCCCAAATGGTTAGGAGTTGAAAGTTAAAATTTGGTACAAAGTGTACATTCTCATGACATATCCTAAGTAGAGATTTTTTTAAATTCCCCCATGGAGGAGAAAGAGAGGGTTAAGGATTACCCTGAAGTACTTGGCTTCTACTGTACTATTTTAGATGTGGTTTTTTGCATTTTTGTGGGAAATCAAACATATTTTTAGACCCTTCTAAAAATTCTCTGATCAGCCTCAGAAAAGGGGGGACCTAATTCTTGCACCTGATGAAAATGGGTAAGATCGGTCACATAAGATAACCTTTGTAGTTATATAAATCAAATTCTATAATATAATACATTAGAAGGGTTAGAAGTATAAAATTAGCTAATTTTAATGTTTGTTCTTATTTCTTGCCTGGGCTTACCTAGAAGTTTTATATAAAATAAATCACAATTTTTAAAGGCTTCACTAAAGGAATAAAGGCAGTCAAAATGCTTTCATCCTATACACCAATGCTATTGAAGCAAGTAAATATGCTATAAAAACAATGATAAAAAAAAACCTAACCTATTGAGAAACTGTAACCATAATTTCATCATTCAGGAATCATAATTCTTAAATAAACATTCCATAAACAATAAATTACTATTTTTTGTTGTTGTTTATTCTAGTTCCATTTCAGTTTTAAGTATCTAGGGCCTTTGTTGAGATGGGGGATGGTTGAACTGGAAGTTGAGCAGTGTGTTATGTAACAAGAAAATTAGCTGCAAACTGAAAGGTAAATTGTACAAATCAGTTGTTAGATCTACAATGTTGTATGGGGCTGAGACATGAACAATTACAAGAGCCCAAGAAAGAAAGATGGAGGTGGCAGAGAGAAGAACGTTGAGATGGATGTGTGGAATGTCAAGGAAGGATAGAATAAGGAACAGGTTTATTAGAGGTTTTGTTAAGATGGGTTCCTTGAGCAGGAAGATGCAAGAATGCAGGTTAAGGTGGTTTGGCCATGTAGAGCGAAGTAGTAAAGATTATGTTGGAAAGAAAGCCAGAAAACTGGTAGTGAAAGGAAGGAGGAAAAGAGGAAAACTAAGGCTGCATTGGAAAGATAAGGTGGAAGAAGACTTGAATAGAGGGAATTTAAGAGAAAAGACACCCTTGATAGGATAAAATGTAGGAAACAGATTAGAGAAGGAAACGCTGAACCCATATAAACATGGGAAAAGTCAAAGATGAAGAAGTTTCAAGCGTAAAATATTGCTTTTTTATGGACTCATCATACAGGAACTTAGGAGACAATATGGCTGAATTTAAACTTTATTGATATTAGTTACAAGAAAATGCATTTCAGGTGTCACACCCTCATCAGTTCTTATCATTTAGTACCTGTATTATTCAAGGATATTTTTTGTACTATTTCAATAACAATCATAAATCATACACGGATTAATGGATGAGAAAGATAAAAGATCTTTATTAAAAATGATATTTTTAAAATTTTTTATTACATGTTAAGAAAAATTCAACTGTTATTGAAATAATACAAAAAATCTTTGAAGAATTCAGGTAGTAAGTGGGAAGAAATGATGAGAGGTATGACACCTGAAATGCATTTTCTTGTAACTAATATCAATAAAGTCTAAATTCAGCCAAATTGTCTCCTAAGTTCCTGTATGATAAGTCCATAAAAAAGCAATATTTTACACTTGAAACTGAAACAATAAATTATTATTTACAAAACACTTATCATTCTAGCAATGCTAGACATTTCTAATACCAGTATAAATATAATTACTATATATTTAGACTATAGTATTTTAACATACCTTTTAGGACTTTTTTGTTTAAGTAAATTTGAAATATTTAGCATCTTGGAAGTCTTAAATTACACCTAACGAAATCTTATTATCACTAAATAAATACAATAATACAGGTGAGTCAAAATTGTGAACAATCTTAATTTTTAATTAAACATTATTACCAAGCGAGCGCCTAAATATCGGGCTATAATATGGCTAATTAAATGATTGATATAAAGTAATTTGACACTAGAGGTAGATTAAATAAATAAAATTATTAAATTTATTTAATAATTTATTTATTTAATTATAATTATTAATTTACTTAAGAGATGGCACCTAACATCTACCTCTAGTGTCAAATTACTTTATACCAATCATTTAATTAGCCATATTATAGCTCGATATTTAGGCGATCATTTGGTGATTTATTGTATACTACTCAGGCTTTGCGATGTTATTATTTTTAAACATTATTAATGAAACATCTTAATTTTGTTTCGTTTTCTATTCCGATTGGTCATGACAGACCATTGTTATGGCCTCCCCAATCTCCGGTCTTCTGGCACTAAATTGTACTGTTGAACATTGGTTTGAGTGCATTAATTGTGCTGGTGGCCAGATTGAGACTCTGTATAACACAAACTTTAGGTAAATGCTTTCTCTCAAATAGTGTTCACATAATTTTGATTCACCCTGTATATCAATTTATTTTATCGCTTTTTTCAATAAATTTAAATATAAAATAAAAAATTAATTTTTTTTTAACACTTGAAATAAATTTCCTACTTTGTATTGTAAGAAAATATATTATCAGTTTATATTTTTTTCAGCTGTATATATCAACTATTAAAATAAGAATACAAAAATTACAGACTACACAGTTTACTACAAAACTATATTTTCACTTACTTTCCAAATGTATTTATTATTTTATATCTTAATATTTTAAGAAGTAAAAAGTTAAATGATACTAAAGAAAAAATAAATTTTTTAATAAAATTTACACAAGAGTTCATCAAACCTCTTTACTCCAATTCTGATTTTGTAACAGTATAAAATAAATCTGACTTGGGAGGAAGCTGAAGCCCTTGCCCATGATCAAAATCAATGGAAGATAATTGTTACCTGGTATGTTACCTAGCATTGGAGGTATTACTACTACTACTACACAATAAAACCATACTTTGTGGCCATCTCAGTTATGTAGCCATCCTCAAAATTTCCCTATAAAACTTTTAATATAAATCAAACTCCATCTTAGTGATCACAATAGGGGTATCCTAAAGTGACACTTATCTCTATTTACATGGCCAATAGAATAGGAAAATTTCTGCATTCCTAAACTCAACATATTTTAAAAGTGCTTTAAATGGAACTAAGCTTTCTTGCTAAGAACCTTCAAACAGCTTATGTTCAAATAAAATAAATCTTTATTTACAGTCAACAAATTAAACTTATCTCCAGAGTTTAGTAAGAAAAAAGACAATTATATATTTGTTCAATAATGTTATACAAAATTTGATTGTATTTTGTAAAAATATAACTATAAATCAGCAATGATCAGTCTATGTCACTCAACATGCAACAAAGAAAAATATCAATGAGCCTAGTGTAAAAACTAGTTTAATTTTAACATTTTGTTTTCTTTTGACAGTTGTACACTTTTGTGTATTTAGTGACTTTTGTTTAATAAAATTTCCATAAGGTTGTGTAGGGTCCAAGTCCTGACAGATTTGGCTAAATATTTGATAGTTTGTAGTTTTAATCAAAGTAAAAACGTCCCCGATAGGCACATGATAAAAAAATACACAGTTTTTGAATTATTTAATGTCCAAGATGCAAAAATAATGTAAACTGTGCACATGTTGTGAAAATCTAAATCTTTCTCATTTCAAAATATAAAAAATATGTTCCATAGAGTCCTTTTCAATTGTTATCAAGTCTTGATGGAGTGGTCTCTTGCAGGAAGGGCACTGATGCATAACAAAAAGGAGCACACTTTATCTATTAGTGTAGTATGAACCCAAACAGTATGATAATCAAATTTGCATGTATTGCATAGTAAATGATTTTGCCACAAGGAAATCTAGATAATGTTCCAAACATCAGTAACATTTGAGAACATCTTATATTTTAGAACAAATTTTGATTAATTTTATGTATTGAAGTGAGCAATTATTTATTGTGACATCATCAAAATGCCAGGCTGCAATTTTTTATTTATTTAATTTAAAACATATGCTCTCCACCTTAAATTATTAATAGTTTCTTGCCCCTGTACATCATACTTTTCCTTTAACAATAGAGTCGTGCCAATCATCTATTAATTGCTTTCAGGGGAAAGTTTGAATTGAAATAATGTGACAAACAACTGAGTTTGCATCAGAAGTTCATATATAGTTAATCGCACCCTCCTGCCTCTAAGGTTTCCATATCTTGTCTCGTCTTTCATCTATCTAATTCCATTTTTGGGATTAAGAAAGACAGACAGACAAATGCACGACAGTGGGAATTTATAGGTCTACCATTTTTCAAATTGCAGCCCAACAAATATGATAATGCAAATCAAACACAATTTTTTAATTTTTATATTATAAATTATACTTAAATTATAAAATTTAACCAATTTTAATATTTTACTTACTTAATCAAATATTAAAAAACATGTAATTATTTAAAATTAATACTGAAGAATCAACAGAAGTGAATTATTAAAAATTTGTGTTTAAATTTTGAATAAGTATAATAGAACTTTTTCCATGTGCTAAGTTATTAAAAAAAAGAAAACCACAAATTTATTAAAATCAAATTTAGATATCAGAAAAGTTATTTTTAACTTATTAAATTTTTTTTTTATTTCTCTACCTTCTGTTCAGTTCCACATTTATCAGGACCAAACATTATAGTATATGGAGTCTTGTCATGAAAATTCTTAAGATTCATGTCAGAAGTTTGAGAAAGAACTTTTATGTATGCACCTCCACAATCTTGTCCATTCTGAAAGTGGACTTCATATCTGAAATTAAAACATTTCATTATATAAATTATAAGAAATTTACATACATTAAAAAAAATCATACTTACTGAAGTACAAATGGTTTGTTGTCAAACAAAAATGGTTTGTCTAGTCTAGTTGATATGGCATGATGATGGGCCTTTGACTAGTTTAAATAATATAATAAATTTAAAAACTTTTTAAAAATTATTATTAATTAATTAATATTTAAACATAATATATCAAAATAGTACATTCATATTTAATACAAATGTTTAAATAAAAGAATTTATAAGAAATATCTAAATGAAATTTGATAAAATATAAATTATTTAAATTTGACACCAACCCCTGCCGAAAATCAATCGGGCTAGTTTAATGCTAATTACTAAATAAATTACGTAACCAATTTGGCACTAGAGATAAGCGTTAGGCGCCAGCGTTTTTCTCCCAGCAGTTCTAAATTATTTAAATTAATTAATTTATTTATAATTATTAATATTAATAAGAGATGGCGCCTAACGCTTACCTCTAGTGCCAAATTAATTACGTAATTTATTTAGTAATTAGCTAAATAAAAAAAAACAAACTTTA